CACTAGATTCGTCGCGTCACTGATTTGTAGCTGTACGTGGTGGAGTTTTAAGAGGGATAGGGAGTAAGACAATGCTTTTCGATCGTCTTTGCCTAAAAAGTCCTTCAACCGACAGCATTTCAGGACTGTTCCACGTTCTCTAAAAAGGGCTCTGCAGTTGTCTATATGTTCTTTTTCTTATCTTGCTGACGAAATCGGCGGTGTTGTAGAAGGTGCGATGTCACAACCCTATTAGGGCAACACTGGTCGTCCCGCTTGGATAACTATAGGCACTAGCTAGAGTCTTATTGGGGCCTCACTAATTTCAGGTAGATTATTCCCTAATTTTATCATATGAGTGGATATGCCTTCAGATTCAGAACTCTCGTTAAGACCCTTTTTCAGCAGTCGAATACTTATAACGCTTCAGAAGGTTATAAGCCAACCACAGTACAAACTCTTAAGGCTTCCCTGAAAATTATCACAGATCTTGATGCTTGTTAAGTTGTGTCTTGCTTTGCATGGTCTGTAATCATGTTCTTGAGACGCTGTTTGCAGAGTAATCATCCATGGCTAAACCAGCTTGCCCAAAAGGTAGATAAAATTATCCAGGCGTCCTTTCGGTGGTCGTTGGCCATGAAAAATTGAGATAATTAGCCCAGACAGTAGCCTTCGCCGCTACTGTCATGCAGTATCAACGAACCACGTGTCTGAACTTTTAGTTAGTATTCGTGCTGTCAGTGGTGATAAATCGTTTGACATAAGTGCCCAGAATGTTACGATCCCACATTCCGCAAGAAATTCCCTTGGCGGCGAAGGGTTGTATCTCCTTAACGGTCCAGTTATAGTTACTTCTTCCCACCTCGATCTGGGGAAACTGAAAACTCGGTACAATGGCTTTAGTGATCATCCTTATGAGTAACAGGGGCCTGTCTCTAATTGCTGCCCATTTTCACCATCACAAGCTGCACCAAAGCCACCGAGGTATTTTAGATGTGAACTTCGCGCGGTTTTTTTAAGCATAATTGCTCTGCATTTACCTTTGATGTCCAGCTAAGGTGGTTGGAAAAGTTGAATAGCCCAACTCCACACAAGCCAAGCCTCAAGAGAGAGGGGGAATCGCACTAGGAAGAATTTGATCGCAGTCTAGCTTACGTCTCACCAGAGCCGTGCTATCCCGCCTATTAGAAACACTACAAAACCTGACTTTTGCGCGACTTGGTACCGTTAAGTTTTCTAAAGTCTTATTGGTGTTACCGTCCTTAGCTGAAGCACATTCGCGCCCACTTACAACATCGACACGATTCTGTTTGACGTTTATTTACACGCAGTATTGTTTTTACTCTCTTTCCCTCCTCTCTAATGTACCAGTGGCTTTTCCAATACTTAAGACCTACTGATGATGTAATTGAGTGCTGGTCAAAAAATGTCTACGCCAAATGGCAGGTTCGCCGAAAAATTATTAGTCCGTGGAATAATATCACTGCACTTCCGTGAGCCTTTTTTGCCGATATTCATCGAAGAAACTGTCGAGAGCAATCGTTTCAAGTGACTTGCTCTTGCAGACTGCTAGGCTGACTAATAGAAGCAAATGTGCGTGCCTCAGGTTCTTGTTGTAAAAAAGAAGACGCGATCTCTGGAACGGCAATTTTATTCTTCTGACCTTTCGACTCCACACGAGAAGCCATCGCCAGGCGTCAGGCTTCTCGTGTGGAGTCGAAAACTCAGAGGAATAAAATTGTTGTTCCAGATATCGTGTCTTCTTCTTCTTTACTGCTAGGCTGATTTGTACAGGACGCAAACTCGCCACGGAGATTGTCCGTCGTCAGGAGAATATGATCGCACCACTATCCCCCAACTTCTGAGATTCAGATGATGTTTGACTTGTGGACAGTGAAGAACAGTTGTCGTCGTAGTGTGTGCCCTATCCGCCGAAAATTAGCCAAGCTTATGTTCTAATCACCCTGGCTTTCACTTAGGAATATTTCAAGTCACTTGCGAAGACTTTTGTTTAAGTTGTATATATTTTTTCAAGTTGTAACTTCCTTGTCCTAGTTACAAGTCTGGTCTCCCTTTTCATGGTGTGTGAACCTGCGCCCTCTCACGCCTCCGGCCTTTTTCTAGACTCAGTTTTGATGCCGGGCCCAGGTAGATGCACTGAAAGTCTACCCTCACCATAAATCAGCGCAGGTCACCGTGCCTGCCCCAGCCTGCCGTAGAATACATGGTCAGTCTCTTCGAAATGGACGGTCGAACTGTCGTGTGTGGGAAAAATTCTATTATCGGGAAGTTGACATTTGGATATGCATTACATGTTGATACTAAATAATTCAGCTATGCACACTTGCGGTTGGCCTGCCTTTAGGCATGCGCGTTCAAACTTTACTTTGTAAATAAATATATGCTGAAGTAGTGGACTTTCCATGGGTCATATTGTTCGCTTGGACGATCCCCAGACGGCGGTTGACTCTCCATGGTACTTGAGCAACTTGCGGTTTTCTCGCATGCTCGTCACTTAGTCTGTCGGGTGTTCACATAGTCAATTCCGAAAGTGATTGACACCACTGTTAACGCCCGATTGCACCTATAAAAACGGACGGAATTCTACTTGTACATGGTACGGCTGTGATCATGCCTGATTTAGCCAGCCTCAATGATGTCACGAACGGTACGTCTTCATGCGTGACAATTAGCAGCAGCGAATCTGGAGAGCTCCACCCGTTCTCTTCTCTAGTGATGGAGACCGAAAATCGAAGGTCCAAGAACCGCTTTAATGTCTTGACGATGGGTGTCGAGCCAAATTTTGAGTTGCCCTCCTTCTTTTCGACGCCTCTAGGTGGGTTGCGACGCCAGATCGAGAACAGCATAGCAAAGCTTGTGTGGCGGACGACGGAGAACTTTCCCAAACCATCGCCGCAGTGGGTGTGCAGACTGTCCCGCTTGAGACAAAATCGGTGCACTTCTCTCATAGGATAGTCCTTAGGCAGCGGTGGTAAAATACCTTGCTTATCTTCAACGCCCAAAGTCCAACATTCTCGTCCATAGAGGACTGAGCGGACGGGCGAATGCAAGGTAGACACGAATCTTTGTGGTGATGGAGATGTCGCGTCGGACCCATAAGCACTTTCGGAAGATTGAGAAAACCCGGCGAGCAACATCGATTCGGGAAACAATATCGTCCTTACTTTGTCCATTCAGCGCATTCGTGCACTGTGCAGCCTAGAGATACGGTCCACTGATCGTGCAGCATCCTTTTCGCACAAATGCGAGTTGTCTTGTCCTTTTTTTACAAATGTTTTTCCCTACCCATCCTCCCATGCCTTCATCTGATCCCCATTTCCTCATTTGTCTTTTTAGATCTCTGCCACGATGCTGGAGACTTTGCTCATCCTCATTTTTCTAGTTTTGCTTCTCCTCGGCGGAACGGTTGCCCTGTTGCTCTACTTGTCCGGAGCCCTGGCACCGATCTGTGTCTCCACTACCGACGAGGTGCCCTTCTTAGCTGAAGGAGCACGCTTCCTGTACAGGGTCTACCAGGGCTCCTACCAGTCTGTTGGTGGACTATTCACGGAGACCTACGCTCTGGCGCCTGGGTGTATTCAGTGCGGCATCTTTTACGATGACCCACAGCAAGGCGAGGCAAGTATATTTTGCCTTTGACTTGCCTCTT